AATTCATCTGCTATAAAGAGCCTCCCTGAAGAGCCAGGACCTCACCCTCCAAGACCCTAGGGGACACAGGGCTCCCAGGAGGCAACATGGTCAGCCTGGGCAGGGGTGTGCTATGCTGCTGAGAGTGAGGGGGCAGCTGAAGCAGACAACGTGATTCTAAAACAGTGAGCTCCGTGCTAAGGCAATAAACACAGAAGGTTATGTACAAAAACATTTTTTTTTCCTGGAAAACCTGAAGTTGGCAACTGCCCCGGGCACTGTATTAGGAGAAAACACCTATTTTAGGAAGTGCATTAAAACAACATAAGCAGTTTATACACATTCTTTCTATCTCCTAGTTCATAAAACCATGAAAGCCGTGGTCAGGACACTTAATAAGTAATGGCAGCACTTCTTGGCTTGGGCGGTTTACTTTAAACAGCAAGCTCGTTTCTGCCCTGGCTATACATATGAGTGGAACACAGAGGGTCCCCGTCCTGGGATCAACCTGTGAGAGAGAGTTGTGCTTTCTGCAGCAGTGACCCCAATGGACTTTTGCACAGCACAGAACTGCGCATTTGGAACAAAGCTGAGCCCTGATAAATCACAGATAGAGAGATTACAGTTCCAGCAGTGCTGGCGGTGAAGTGAGCATTAAATAAATGAATGAAAGAAAACAGGGTGGATTCTCCTGGCCGGAGCTGTACTTAGGTCCCATTTTAGGGTTTCAGCAGCCAGTGCTACATTTTGGTACAGGGATCTATTATTGCTGTTGTGAACTGACAGGCCCTGGAATGTCCTGAGACCTTTAGCATCTCTGTGATACTTAAAAACAAGATTAGACTAAGATACTGTTCAACTTTTCTGCAGTTTCATGCACAAATCCTACGTTTGCCTTCACTGCAGATGGAAAACAATTTACAGCACCACTTCTCAAAGCGTGGGCCACAAGCCACAGGCATTGGCATCATAATGGGGTAGCTTATAAATCCAGATTCCTGGGCCCCTCCTTGAGCTGCTGAGTCGTACATTCTGGGGGTGGGAACCAGGGGATGGGTGCCTTACAAGCTCTTCATGTAATAGTGCACAGTGAGTTTGAGGACCACATATTTGAAGGGCATATGACTAACTCTCTTTAGAATATGGCCTTGATGATTATACATTGACAATTAATTTCTACATAGAAAACAAGAAATTTTTAGAATTATTACTTGTAAAATGTCAATTTGACTGTTCTTCAATAGGATAAATTTTTATGCCTTGATAGCAACTCTAGGAAAGCACAAAAGGGCCCGGGAACTAGAAGCAATATTCTAGAAAACCTTCATGCCTATTCTGCTCAGAACAGGCTTCCTTAGCTTTTAGAAGCAAATGCTGGAGCTTGGGCATCTACAGTCCTGGGCTTCCTTCTACCCCCAATAGCTTCTGGATAGTCAAATCAGCAAGATTTTCTCTCTTACAAGTTTGGCAGACTTTCCTGTCCAGCTTGTCAGTTAGGAAGATTATCAGAAAGTAAAACAGGCAAATGAAGCAGGTCTAACCAGAAAGGAAAAACCGTGTTTACAGAGCGAGGGATCCAGGCGGGGCCCCAAGTCCCCGAGTGCACGGGCCGCTGGGGGCCACACAAAAGAATCAGGTTTGGGATGAGGATGGAGGTGAGAAGACACAAACAGGTGGAGAGGAGACTCGGTTCTTGAGAGAGAAGAGGAGGAGGAATCTGATGCTAAAAAAAAAAAGGATAAAGGCAAAAGAAATTTTAGAAACACAAAGAAAAATAAACAAGCTTTTAATATACTCACATAAGCTGCAAAGAAAATGAGGTCATGTCATACACAATCGTTCCTCTCCTGACAACAGAGTACAAGTGCTTTTCGAAGAAAACAAAGGGGTTTTTCCACTGGTCATTTCTTTGGTCTGCCACAACGTCACAGAATAAAAATAACTCAGGTTTACCTGGGCACAGACTCAGCAGTGTGATCCATGGAACAATACATCTTTAACCTATGACTTCTAGAACATTCTAGAGGAAACGGTTTGCTTTTCATGTGGAAAGGGCTAGGACCTGACTTTTCATGATTTTTTTTTAATGAGAAGCACTTATAAGAATGCTGGCTACTTGGAAGCTAAGGTGTCCCAAGGTCCAGTGTTCTAAGGTGCTACATCATATCATGGTCCCAGCTTCATGACACGGCACTAAGCTTTCTGGGTGGTCTAGGGTTGGGTGTGTTGAGTGGGCACTTTGACAAAGAAGTGCTGTGGCTGTCATGTCTCACAGCTGGGGCATCCCAGGCAGTGGGGGACTGCCACCGTTCCTGTTGGAAGTGTCCCCCCAAGGGAAAAGAAGGACTTTGCTTGGGCAGGTGTCTGCCAATTTCTACCGGTTATTAAAGATACATCCCCTAGCCCGACATCCTGTTTTGAAGGCAAAAGGAAGAAAAAAAATCTTTCATCCTCTATTTAAGGAACTACCAACTCAATCCAAGGAAAAGGCAGTGACTCATAGCTTCAAGTAAAGACTGTCACTCAGATGTCCCCCTGTGGAGTCCTCGTTTTTGTTGGCTGGGACCTATGAAATGATGGGCTTGTCATGTCTGTAAGAGGGGCTATTTCAGTCTGACACATCCATTTAATAAGACAAAACTCTGCTCTTTTGCTACAGTGGACTTGGCTAATAGGAAGCTCATAGATGTAGGCTCCTCCCATGTCATCCCACAGACCTGTGTGTGGACATTTTAGAGGTGGGAAGTCACATGCCAGCTAATTACCCACTCCCCAAAACATGAACATGGAGCCTGCCCTGACTACTGACCCAAGACACAGAATTGTGGTGGTGGTGGTGGGGAGGTTCTGTGTTCTAGAGTTCTTATCTGTTAGACATCCATCCTGAGAGTCTCACAGGCAGAATATGATGCCAGAAATTTGCCTTAAAATACTCTTTGGTGAGCACATTTGGGGCAAGGAAGAGGGATGGAGTTGAGTGCTGAAACCTGGTGGTGATGGGAATGTTGGTGTCTCTGTGCTGGTGTGCTAGAGCATTTTCCATAATCCAAGTTCAAAAAATAAAAAGAGAACAAATTTAATTCTGGGGAGAAAAACCAAAGCAAAATGGATCCAACAGGACTTGTGACCTCACAAAGGGACTCGTCTGCACAGCAGGTGGCTTGGAGACATCCCCATCTGGCACCTGAGAAGGCTTCACCTGCAGAGCGAGACTTGAGGTCTATGGGGAGACGGCTAGGGGTGGGGGTGGTAGGGGGGCGAGCCCCCTGCATACTTCCTGCCTCTGTCTCTTTTCAGCGGGATGTGGCACTAAAGTCTTGGGACCTCCAGGATGCGAGCCCGGGTCCAAGCCAGCTGGAAGGAAAGGGGTCTGAATTGGACAGGCCTGTTCTCACAGGACGCTGAGGAGGGGAAGGGGAAGCCCTGGACAGCCGCAGCCGCTGTTCTGAATCAGTCCAAGTCGCTGCTGGTGCCACCTTGAGTCTTGGGGGTCACCAAGCCCTCTCCTGTCTCAGCCTTGTGCTGCAGCAGCTGGTCCCGACTGCCTGACTTCCCTGTTTCTACAGTGATGAGGGGTGGTTGGGGGGTGGGAGACATGCCCTCCAGCAGGACTGGACCCCGGAGGCAGAACTCTGCTGTGCTGTTCCAGCCAGGGTCCCTACGTGGTTTGCAGTTTAAGCCCACCAATGACGGTTGACCTATCAGGTGGGGGACCAGGCCATTCCAGGGGTGGGTGTCGGCCAGTGTATATTTTGGGCAGTGGCTCAAGTCAGGTTAAACTGTGCTGTTCCTGACACTCAACAACCTTTGTACGGGGAGCCCCAGGGCCTTTGTCAGACCTCCCTGCTGGCTCTGGGAGGAGGGAGCCGGGCACAGGAACCTGTCTGCAGGCAGCCGTGAGGGCAGACTTGGTTGAGCACACACCTGGCTCTCAGCACCTGCCCTCCCATCCCACCTGGGGACAAATTTTCTGGGCCAGCTCTGCCTGTGCACAACCCGGGGCTTTCTGGCAGGAGCTGGTACCCGCTGTGGAAGTAGCTCCCAATGTCATTCTAGGACCATTTTGAGGCTCTGAGCAGTGACTTCCATTGTACTCTGTGGGCCTGTTCAGTCCCTCAATGTCATTGAATGGTTGGCACAGGTGAATGTTTCTAATCCAAACATGTAAAACCCCAAACACTCCAAGATCCATGAGTGTCTGAGGGCTGACATGACACCACAAATGGAAAATCCCACACCTGGTCTCATGGGAGGGTCACAGTCAAAACACCACCAAAACTTGGTTTTAGGAACAAAATGATATATTATATATCCTCACCAGCAGGTGATGCATGGAAGCACAAGTGAGTTTCATGTTTGGACTTGGGTCCCACCCCAAGGTATCCCATCACGTTTATGCAAACATTCCAGAATCTGAAATGATCCCAAATCCAAAACACGTGTGGCCCCAAGGCTTTTGGATGAGAGGACTCAGCCTGCATCACTGCTGCAATCTCTTATCTGGAGCTGTGGGAACGACAGAGTGTCCTCCCTCCCTGGGACGCAGGCAAACATGGGACATGGGATGACCTGGTATGCTGAGGGCTGCAGGTCTCCACGCAGGGACAGAAGAAGGAGAGGCTCAGAGCCACCCATGGCCCTGCCAGGCCTGCCTGCTGGGTGTGTGTGTACGTGTGTGACTGATTAGAAGAAGAAACCTTGATTCAGAAAGGTCAGAGCTCCCAGAGATAGGGAGGTGGGGAGGCAGGGGATAGGGGAACTGGAAGGGAGAGGAAACTCCTCATTTTAGTTTCCAATCCTAAGCTCCAAGAGCAACGGGGAAATCAGCACCAGGTGTTGAACTGGTAATCACCACCACAGCCCCGCTGAGAACAAGCTGGAGAGGACCCTGAGGACACACACTCCGTGCAGTGTTAGTCCCAGTGAGAAAGGTCCCAACCTAGCCAGGCCCGCCCACCCCACGCCCTGGGCCAGGCCCTTTCTCCTGCTGCCACCTCAGCCCCTCTGGCCTCCCTTCTCACCTGTCTCAGGGTCACTGAAGTCTGGCAGAGTGATTGTATTCAGCTGTCGTCTATCAGCAATGGTTCTGTCCAGGAGGCTGCTCCCGCGGCCAGAGTCACTGCAAAACACACTGTACACATCAGTCACCTGGAAGGGGGTGGGGAGGGGCAGCATTGCCCAGCACAGACAACTGAGACACGCCCAGTGTCCTGGTGCACTGATGTCCTTCTGCTCTCCCATCTGGAAAGCAAGCATCCTGATCCTGGGCAGCCTGGACTGGGAATCCACTCAGAGGCCAGCGTCCCAAACACACCCACCCATGCCCCACACCCTGGCTCATTCTAGCTTCTTTTGTGTCATTAGAAGATGCAGCACTGGAAACATTAGGCCAGGTTCTCTACGCCATCCAGGGGAACTGGACTGGCCCCCTAGTCCATGAGGTCTTGGACCGTGAGTCCACAAATCCACTGCCATGAAGAGTGACCTTTAGGGACCAACACCCACACACGTGCCCTACGCCCTTGCTGCTAAAGAGCTCAGGGACATTTCCAAAGAGCCCTGACACCGAGGTCCCACCCTAGGCAGCTAAATCAAAACTCCTGGGACAGTCGATATTTCCAAAAACTCCCAGATGGTTCTAAGGTGCAGCTGGGACCTGAGGACTGCTGGTCCCCTATTCCGAGGCGATCACAGTCACAGCCTCGCTGGGTCCCCGAGCAAGCCTATAGGCTAAATCGCATGGTTAGCTTTCCTACTTAACAGCAAGAGGAGGAGGAGGGCAAGGTGGCTGCCAGGGCTCCTAGGAGGCTGGTCACAGAGGAGCGGACAGCTGGAAGGGAACACAGCCTCCAGCTACAGGACGCCCTCCTGCCAGCTTCCTGCACTGCCCACCTGTATGGAAGGCCCCTCTCCAGCCTGTGCCTGCAAGACAGGCTGGGCACCACTCGCCAGCAGTGTCACGAGGAGCTCACATCAGGCCTAAGAAATGAAATAATTAAGGAATCTCAGTTGATATGGATTACTAAAAAACCCCAGGCAGTTTGGAAGTCAACACTGCTGCTCTTCCTCCACTGTCACATCCTATCGAAGCAGCTCCAGAAAGACTCATGCCTGTCTCCTGAGGTGTCAGTCTTTAGTGCTTTTCTTTGAATCTATTTTTCTCAACCTAGGGCTCTGAGAGTGACTTTTTTGTTGTTAAGAAGTTCAAATTCTACCATAAAGGGACGCGAGTTCCTTCCTCCATGCAGCTGCTATTGACGTGGTATAGGCAGCATTCAGCGTGAAACGTAACATGGTTACAGACTGTGATGTCTATAGTCAATGCCTCTTCTAATGCTATTAGAGAAAACTGCAGGAAGCAGGAACCTTCCTCCAGGACAGACTGGCAGGCTCTGCTGACATCAGCCCACACGTGCATTCTCATTTAATTATTCCTGCCACTGAGAAGCAACAAATGTCTCTGAACAGAAAAGAGCATACAAGGCCATGCACATTATCACTGATCACAAGACTGTTCCATGTCTAGTGTGGGTCTATCGCCATGCAGTGTGTCAACATAAATATCACAGAGCATTAATTATCTGAATACTGCAGTGGCTCCCCTGAGGAGTTTTCAGAAGATTTTGACTCAAAAGACAATGGTGACACAGTGCTCATCACCTCAGGAACTCCAGGACACATGGTGAGGTGCTGGAAATGCAGAGAAAGGGCCTGCCTGGGTTTGTGGTGGACTGAACCTGAGGTCTGTTTCACCATAGTCCTCCTGGCTTCTCTTGTCACTGAGTTTCAGGGCACAGGCTTGGCTGCCACGTGAGATGTTTTGGGAAGGACAGAACTGGGGGGTCAGGGTGCTCATCCTACATCCATCACTAACAGGTAGGTCACCCTGGGCAAGGCCTCATTCCCTGTGCCTCGGTGGCCTTCCTGGTCAGATGGAGATAAGGACTGCCTCCCCACACAGAACTATGTGAGGCTTAACTGAGCCCATGAGGAGGAAGACACACCTACCAACGCATAGGGGGTGCACGTGGTGGGCCAACCCCTGCAGATGGTGAGTCCTGGGACTTCTGGTACAGCAAGTGCAGGCTGGGAAGCTGAAGGCCTCCTACTCCACAGGCCAGAAATCCTGAGTGAAACCCCAATCAGAATGTGTGAGTCCCACCTCAGACATAGTGCGGGACCCACATCCCCCATGTCCCCTCCCACGACTGAGAAACACCAGTCATGCTCCTGGGTCTGTCTCCATTGTTTCTTTGGAGGACTCTGGTCATGCTACTGGGTCTGTCTTCATCGTTGCCTTGGAGGACACCGGTTGTGCTCCTGGGTCTGTCTCCATCATTCCTTTGGAGGACCCTGGTTGCACTCCTGGGTCTGTCTCACTCCTGAGTATGTCTCCATCATTCCCTCCCTTGGAGGACACTGGCTGTGTTCCTGGGTCTGTCTCCATCGTTCCCTTGGAGGACACCCGTTGTGCTCCTGGGTCTGTCTCCATTGTTCCCTTGGAGGACTCCAGTCACATTTCTTGGTCTGTCTCCATGGTTCCCTTGGAGGAAGACACTGGTCACGCTCTTGGGTCTGTCTCCATCATTCCTTTGGAGGACACCAGTCGCATTCCTGGGTTTGTCTCCATCATTCCTTTGGAGGACACCAGTCACGCTCCTGAGTCTGTCTCTGTCATTCCCTTGGAGGACACCGGTCACAGTTCTGGGCTGTTTCCATTGTTTCTTTGGAAGACCCTGGTTGCGCTCCCGGGTCTGTCTTCAGCGTTCCTTTGGAGGACAGCATAGAAGCAACAATGAATCATTGAAACGGAGACACTTCTGTTACTACGTGAAAGCCTTTTCTCTGAAGATAAGGAGGTATCTGTGACTGGCTGAGAACCATGCAGGATGCTCCAAGTCATTTCTAGTTCTTCACTTATGTGAAGATTGACCTTTGCAATAACCTCCAGCATGTGGGAGCAGGCACAGGGGCCTTGGCCAACCCAGCCATCCCTGACTCCCTCACTCCAGTTAGTCTCTCTCAGGTCTCTGGGAGTCACCTCCCTTGCTTCCTCAGGGACACAGTCTGCTTGGCACCCCTGTGGGCCACCCCCTCACAGCCTCACTCCTCTCCACAATGCCCTTGAGTGGTCAGGAGTTCAAGCAAGGAAGGCAGGAAGGAAGAGAAGGCCATTCCTGGCCGGGGCAAGAGCAGAGGGGAGGGAGTGGGGGAACCCTGGCCCATGAACATAAGTGAAGGGGGCCACATGGTGGGTGTGCACGTGCAGGGATGCCTGTTCCCTCAGGATTGACATTGAGAGTACAAGGTGATGACTGTCAGAGTTATCCTGGGAGCTGGAGGATTCTCCTGGAAACCCTCTGTCTCCTGCAGTCAGAGGGTTAATCCTAAGAGGGAGGAGGTGGGGGCAAGTACAGCCCGGAGCACTTTGTGCAGCACACCCCTCCCCATCGCCTGGGACAATGCCTGGTACACCATCAGCCCGACCCCAGATGAGTGGCCTGGGCAGGATACCAGGGCCAGGCGAGGGGAGTCAGGCAAGTTCCCAGTATCCCGGAGCTTCCACGGTCTCATGAGTGAAATGGGCCTGACACCATGACCTCTGCCCGTCTCATGGGGCTGCCCTACTGTGGCAGGGAGCTTGCTTGCCAGAAGAAAAGCTCTGGGGACCGTGGGTGTGAAATGGGATCTTCGACTTCCTGAGGTCACAACAAAAAGAACATGTGTGTGTATGTGCATATGCATGCATGTGTGCATGTGTGTGTACGTGTGTGTGCATGTGTGAGCTTCAAACACCATTTGTCGGCATGCGGCTGGGACAAGATTTTCTCCCATCACTTAGAGTTGTGCACTCACAGCAACGTGATGGAGATGGCCCAGTGGCAGGGACAAAGGAGGAAAGAAGGGGTTAACAATAAAAAGTGAAATAAAGAGCAACTGGCTGTCAACGCTTGGGGGAGGTGGAAGAGTCGGCCTGGGCAAATCACAGTTCTGCCACCACACCTCTCTCAGCACCAGCTCCACTTTCCAGAAAAGGGAAGTAACAGGGGTGTCCTGTGTGGTTGACACAGGGCCTGAAGGTCAGCATGGCTGTGACCAGCCCTGCCTGCATTGCTGTGAGGTTCTGGCATGTGCCTGCTGGGACCTACAGGTGAGATTCTGGTTGGCATTTGCAGTCTTTCATGGCCAAGTCCACGTGCACAAGGGCTGAAGGAGCTTTACGTATCCCCAGGGAGAGGAGATCAGTCATGGGGCAGAGCTCAAGTCCGGAATCAAGCACACATGCATGCTCAGGGGTGCAGCTGGCCTCTGGCCACTAGCACCTCCAAGTGCACGCTCAAGACAGTGCTCCCATAATGGGCTCACCGCAGAACATGCCTCCTATGGCAGGAGGCTGCTGTCCCAGTATTCTGATGTTCAGCTTGGCGACTGGCCACAGTGTGGCTTTTTCTTACATGTCAAATGAAGAGGGTGCAAGCTGCTGGGAACGCGATGAAGTTCTATTCTCAGCCTCCTTGACACAGCCTCCCCCACACCTGCCTCCATGCCTGCTGTCTTACCACCCTGGGGCCTGTGCTGGGCCCCAGGGGGCTCTGGAAGGCATGGGGAGGTCTGGAAACGGCAGCCAAGGTTCGCCACATGGGAGCACGCTTGGAAACGAGGTGCCTTGAGCCATTCCCTGCTGAGCTGCCTTCTGCTATCTTCTGTCATTGCTTTTTAGGAAGAGGGTTAGGAAGGATACTCCTCACACCCTTGTACTCACTACTCTCCCTTCTCTTTTTTTTTTGTTGGAATCTCACTCTGTTGCCTAGGCTGGAGTGCTGGAGTACAGTGGCATGTTCAAAGCCACCGCAGTCTCAACCTGCTAGGTTCAGGCAATCCTCCTGCCTTAGCCTTCCAAGTAGCTGGAACACCACTTCTCATTAATTTTTTGATTTACTATAAAGATGAGATCTCACCAAGTTGCCCAGGCTGGTCTTGAACCCCTGGGCTCAGGCAATTCTCTTGCTTCAGCCTCCCAAAGTGCTGGGATTATAGGCATGAGCCACCGAGTCTGGCTTGACTCACCCCTCTTCTAAAGCCTTGTCTTTCCTGAGGGCAGCCCCTCGGCCGCAGGAGCCACCTAGCCCCTGTGGAGAGCTGTGCTGTCCTGGGTGAACACACCTTTCCTGCAAGCCTTATTCTGCAGGAGTATTCACCAGGGCCACTTCTCATGGAGCAGACGGGAAGGATGTCTAAGTCTGCACAATGGTGAGGGCTGCAGGAGAAGTGTTCACTTATATCACAGAGAAAATGAAGTAAAAAATCCAGCAGGAAGTCCTTAATAAGGGCTACTTGGTTCCCCATCCCCCAGGCCACCCCAAGCCCAGCTGGGAGCCAGGGCGCCTTGCTGCTTGGCCCTGAGTGGTCTCAGGAAACGGAGGCAGTATGGACGGGCCACATTTGGTGGAGTATTTTTAAAAGCTTCCAATTCTGGGCATTTTCTTCTGCGTTCAGTATTCTGGTTGCTAGGTGGGAGGCAAGGCAGGAGGAGGTTTGGAGATGGGGGGTGGGGTGGCGTGGGGGGAGAATCTGGTGCTTGAGCATCGACAGGTTCCTTTCTCAGTTCTGGGGCACAGGCAAGGCATGTACCTGGTGCTGAAGCACCTCCAGCGAGTTGGTTGTGTGGCCAAGACCTCCCCAAATTGCGATGCTGGAGGGGCCAGAGTGGGCCCTTGAGGGTGAACGTGGACATTTTCTACTTCTGCTTCCATGCTTAGAAGAGTGGGATTTCTCTAGACTAAATGATCCTTATTTTCAGAACATACCCATGAAAGGAATGGTCCCCTTACACAAGAAAGGTGGGTGTCCCAGGTGGCACGGTGTGGGCAGAGGGTACTCTGCTCTGTGTCTAGGGTGGGTGGGGGCAGCAATTGCAGCAGTGGGATGGCCACAGGTTCCAGGCTGCCTCTCCTTTCGGCCGCACTGCCCACAGCCCTGGTCACGGCATGTCAGTTTCTAGGGGGTTCCTCCCCTGAGCAGAGCCCTGACTCTGCACATGTCGATTTAGCTGCAGAACCTTCCGTAAAACAACATCTCCCAGGGAATCACACCTCCACTCTGCTGCCTGTGTCACACCTACCCTGACTACCCTGCTGGTCCCTGCAAATCACGACCACCAGCCTACAACCGCCAGCCCACACCCCCCAGCCCACTGCCACCAGCCCACAGCCACTAGTCTACGGCTGCCAGCACACAGCTGCAGACCACTGCTGCCAGTCTACAGCTCCAGCCCACTGCCACCAGCCCATGGCTCTGGCCCATGGCTGCCATCTCACAGCCTTGCCCTTAGTGCCCACTGACGATGAGTTAGCTGCTTCTAGGTACCTGACTCTTACAAGCATGACACTGGTCACTCGGACACCATGCTGAGAACTTGAACGAATATTCTGAGTATATGAGCTGTCATATGAATTCACTTGAATCATTACGTTCTTCTGTATTAGCATTCATTCCTTCACTTCATCATCTCAATAGGAAAAACTGTCCAAGACTTGGAATAGGCTGACGGGACATTGGGCATCTGTCAGTGGAATGCTGAGGTGGACCAGAGGGCCTTTCCTGGACCATGACTCCAAAGGGAGGCAGCTTGGCCTGGCTTTCTGCTCACTGAGCTAGTTGACAGCTCTATAGGGGCAGCAGTTAACCCGCAGAACTCTAGCAGGTAGATGCATTTCCTCTGGTAGAGACACAGTTGACTTCCAGCCTGGAGACAAGGTCATCCCAAATGACATATTTCATTGCCTTCTGAGACCTTGTTTTTGCATCAATCTGCAAATGCATTTCAGCATTCCTGCCTAGGCATATCTGGCTTTCAAATTCTTCTTTGAATGGGTCTTAGCATTTTGCTGGCTCCTTCAGTAGTTAACAAGGTAAATATAATGTTGGACATGTGCTTATTTCATATTTGGATGAATCCTGACTTTAACTTTCTGAAAGTTATACTTTGTTACTCTAGCAGTGATCTCTGCCCTCCTCTGGCAGGAGGTGGCCAGTGGTCTCTGTGGCTTTTAAATATGGCTGTGGGAACTCCATCTGGATACTTAATTGGCCAGTCTACATGTATGTTACCAGAAAGGTGACAAGATGTGTCAGGAGTTATGTGTGTGGCTGGTAGACAGAAATCTGACCAGGTCACCTTGGCAACCACGCAGAAAGCCTGGGGCTTGAAGGTTTCATCTGCCATGGAAGAAAAGCCTCCCCAAACTGGAGCATGAAGCCTCCCATGCCATGACCTGCCATGCTGGGGACAGGCTGGAGTGCAGGGGCAACAGAGTCCATGCTGCCAAATGCCAATCTGAGATGGCGTGAGCTGGTGAGGCCCACATGAAGCCACACACAAGCCATGCAGGTGGCGCGACCGCTTACCTGGGGTTGGCGAGGTTGTAGCAGGACTTCCATATCTGTAGCATGTGCTTACAGGTGACGAGCGCCTCATCAGGGCCGCGGCACAGTGACTCTAGCTTCACCTTGGAAAACAGGAGTCTATGGGGAGACAGGGAGAGAATGCATCAGGCCGAGTACCCTCTCCACGTGACAGAGCAGGGGCCTAGGCAGCACTTTTTGTAGAAAGGAGGTCATACACATGGTCCCAGAGGAGCTATGGCAGGAGGGTGGAGAATGCTGGGATTCCTGGCTCTACAGATGGCCCTGTGGGGACCTTGCCATCAGGGTACACGAATAACTGTGGTCAGGCTGGAAGCCTTGGGGTGGTCAGTCATGTGAGCACACAGGGAGCTCTTAAAGAACATGATTCTTAGAGCAAGCCCCTGTATTTGTGAAGCCTCAGAACCTCGCTACATGCTCTTCTGGTTTATTCACACATTATCCAGGAGATGTGACCCAGCCAACATAGGGGTGGTAACGGTGTCGGCTTGTGGGCTCTGAAGGCCTAACCCAAAGGCCGCAGAGGAAGGGGCCTCCACTCTGTCTCCACTCCCAGCTTCTTCCATGTCATCTGGCATTTCTTCCCTATCATCACTGCCAACACGTCGCCCTCTGTCTAGACTATTGGCGCGAGTACGGAGCGTTTTCTCTCTCGTGGCCCCTGGGGTAGTATGCTGGCCTTGAGTTCTACTCGCATCTCTCTGCAACTTCAGATCTCTCAGCCCCTGGATGTGTCACCTGTCCTGGTGGAAGTCCTAGCATGAGCCCAGACTCCTGGCTGAGGTGTCCCTGTCCCCCAATGTGCCCAGCCCTAAAACACCTTTCGAAGGACCCAGCTTGAGAAGCAATGCAGGTACCTCACTCTCTGCAGTAATGAGCCGATATTCTGTACTCCTGAATCAATCCCCGGCTGGCCTGGTCATGCTGCCCACCCCACAGGCCCTGCCATATAATGCCCAACAAGCTTCCCACACAGCTCTCGCTGCGCATGCGCAGTCTTGGTGGCAGCCTCTACCCACCTACATCTCCCCTGAACTCCTCCCAAATCCAACTAAAAGCCCCCTCATCAAGCAGGTCTTCCGTCACCGCCCCATGTATCTCTGTTCAGATGCAGCAAGAGCTTGTGAACAGGAACAAGAAAAGAAAAGGAGGGAAGAGCTTCTGTCACTAGAGGCCTCTCAAGTGCTAGGCCCTGGGAATATCTCACACTGTAATTTCACCTTTGCAACAAGTCATCTTGGCAGGACAGTGGATGGGGAAACTGAGGCTGTGTAATGGTGCCCTTTGGCTGTTTTCAAGATGTGATTTTCTTCTTGAGTATGAGAGCCCTGACATATCTCTCCCTCTTTCTCTCTCTCACTTTCTCCCACCCTCCCTCTTTCTGTCTCTCCCCCTCTCTCTCACCTCACCACCACAGTGCCTAAAATTGTGCTCTAAGGCTGGGTGTAGTGGTGACTCACGCCTGTAATCCCAGCACTTTGGGAGGCCAAGGTGGGAGGATCGCTGGAGCAGGTGTTCAAGACCAGCTTGGGCAACATAGTGAGACTTCATCTTTACAAAAAAATTTAAAAAATTGTTGGGCAAGGTGGCGCATGCCTGTGGTCCCAGCTACCCGGGAGGCTGAGGCAAGAGGACTGCCTGAGCCCAGGAGGTTTAGGCTGCAGTGAGTTGTGATCATGCCACTGTACTCCAGTCTGGGCAACAGACCCTGACTCAAAAAAAAAAAAAAAAGAATTGCGCTCTGAGTACAAAGGGCCTTAAATCAGCATTTGCTCACTGGTCACTTTTTCTATAAACCACGGAAAACAAAGTAATGTGTTTGTAGTGATTTGGGTTAGACACACAGGAGACATTCTCAGCTGTGCACAAGGTAATGTCTTTGTTCAAAGGAGCCTTAGAGGAGCAAAGTCTCTTTAGAACAAGGAAGCCCAGGGGCCATGGTGTTCCCAGGGTAGGACTGGTGTCCTGCCAGGCCTGGGTCTGCAGAAGCCTGGGTGACAGGATGCCAGGCTAGGTGGCAACAGGAACATGGGCCCCAGTCTACAAGCAGAAGGGCGTGAGGCGGAGGCCAGACATGCTCACATTTGCAAGTGGTACAAGTTCCCCTAAACGTCCTTTCCAGGCAGTCCACTGGGAGCATGGCACCTCAGGGTGTTTTGAGGGGCTTTAAAGAAGCAGAAGCCGGCCCCTGCCAACCCCTGCTGAAGGCTTCACGTGTCCAGAGCTAGGTGAGAGTTGCTTTCTACCAGAGTCTCTTACCGAGCCTGGGTCACTGGGAGACGTGTGGCAGCTGCCCACGGTCACCTGTCAGAGAGCCTGGGACTCTCCTGGGTTGGGGGGGAGCAGCGTTGGCCAAGAATGGGGAGGCCCAGACACCACAGACGTACAGCTGGAGGATCTGGGAGTGCACTGGGACCTCCCGCAGAGCCTGCCTCCCCTGGGAGGCCATGAAGTGGCGGGGGCACCCTGCATAGCAGTGTCGGGTGGCTCCAGCAGCATGGAGCCGGGTTCCCAAACTATTCTCAGAGTCAGCCCACCCGGCGCAGCTCTCTGCTCAGCCGGGGAACAGCTCTGTGCCAGCCTTCCTGACTGGAAAAGGAACTTCTAATTAAATCAAATAAACAGCTTTCAAACCCCCGACTCAGGATGTGGGGCTGAAAGGTGTGGGCTGGTTTCAGAGACATAGACAGGAAGAACAATGGCAGAAGGCTGAGCACAAGTGGTGGGAGAGGGCTTCCAGGGAGGTGGGAGGACCCACAGGGGAGGCTGGCAGAGGAGGAGGGAGGCGGTGGAGTCCCCCAGCCCCTGCTCAGGTCCAGGGACCCTAAAGGCCGCCTTCCCCACCTGCACCGATGTGCTCTTGAGTGTCTAGGTCAGTGGGAACAGAGGGACTGTCTTCCACCCACCACAGCCCAAACCACAGCATGTTCGCAGGCAGAAAACAGCACTGAAGAAGACAGGTGATGCGTGTCACTGTGTTGCCAAGCCTGTCACACATCTCAAGACGTTCCCGACACCTGGCTGGGCAGGTGTCCTGTTTGCACAGAAAGGAGGTGCCACAGACAGGTGTTGGTGTCAGTCTGCTGAGGTTGATGTCCAGAGGTGTTACAGATTCAATCCGCTGGGGAAGTCTGCCCATGGCAGAAACCAAAACTATCCTTGATGTATGGAAAGCTCGGGACAAACTAGCATGGAGTATGTCTCAGTATGTCCAACATCAACCTGACGCAGAGCTCAGCGAGATCAGAGGGGCCATGAGTGGCCCACCCTGTGGCATGGTGTCTCTCCTGGTGCAGCAAGGAGCCACACCGCTGGGCAAATGGTCCATCCCATCCCTAGGCCTGGCTCAAAGTTCATGAACCTAATCTTTAAAAAATAAGTCTTTGTTCAGATTGGTTGAGAACTTACAGAAAGTTAATGCAGGAAAGAACTTAGGCCAGGCATGTGGCTTATGCATGTAATCCCAACATACTTAAGATTGCTTCAGGTCGAGTTTGAGCAGCCTGGACAACACAGTGAGATCCCATCTCTACAAAAAATTAGATGGGTATCGTGGTGCATGCCTATAGTCCCAGCTATTTGGGAGGCTGAGGCAGGAGGATCACTTGAGCCCAGGAGTTTGAGGCTCCAATGAGTCAGATTGTGCCACTGCACTCCAGCTTGGGCAACAGAGTGAAACAACATCTCACAGAAAAAAATTTTTTAAAAACTAAGAAGACCCTTGCTAAAATACCAGTCTGACTCCATGACTGATGGCCCAAACCTATCATCTCACACAGTACCTTTGTGATCTGGCTCCTGCCCAAGTGCTTGGCCACTGAAGTATTTGTCCATGGCCTATTACGTAACTCCCCTCTCAAGCCACAGGCAACTCCCCTCTGTCACTCTCTCTCAGTCCCCTGAGCCTTTGCACAAGCTGTTCCCTCTGTGTGAAATGCCTTTTCCATCCATTTCTGCCTTCCAAGCACCTGCTCATCTTTCAAGATTTGGGTCAAACAGCACCCATGTCTGAAGCCAGTCTTGAATAACAGGAGTTAAAACCTTCCAAAGAAACCTTCTAAGCCGGGCTCGGTGGCTCAGCCTGTAATCCCACACCTTGGGAGGCTGAGGTGAGTGGATTGCCTGAGCTCGCGAGTTCGAGACCCGCCCGGGCAACTTGGCGAGATCTCATCTCTACAATAAATCAAAAATTAGCTGGGTGTGGTAGTGCGCGCCTGTAGTTCCAGCGACTTGGAAGGCTGAGACAGAAGGATCGCCGGAGCCCAGCAGGTCGAGTGGCCACTGCACTCCAGTCTGGGCGACAGAGTGAGACTCCAACTCAAAAAAAAAAAAAGAGAGACCTTCCAAAGAAACCACACGTGCTCTCAACCATGGAAGACCATGCTATGAGCCAGGAGATATCTGCCTTCAAGACAGGCAGTAATAACAGCAGCTGCCAGACACTTCATTCAATCCCTGATTCTTTTGACAATCCCACGAATTAGGCGGGCACTTAAGTGATCGACCCAAGTTCACACCACTGAGCGACTGGTAGGACAGAAATTTAAACTCAAATCCAGTGGACTACAAAGCACTGAGAAGGAAACACAGGAAACTAATGTGAAATCGAATTACATTACTGACGCCAGTGAAGACATGCACTGTTTTCTTTCTTTCTATGTCAGCACTGCCAAATATTTAAAGCCCTAACATGTGCAAAAGTCTGTGTCAGATGCCATGTGGAACACAGATGGTCACAACATTGTCCCGTCCCTTAAATGATAAAGACCTGACCACTACTACAGGCAGGATCTTCAATGTAGGGCCAGCTTGTGGCCCCAAACCTTGAGTGGGGCCGTAAGGGAGCAGACGTCTGGCTGCCAGGCATCGCTCTGAGGACTGACATGCAGCTTCTTCAAAGAATGAGCACATTCAGCTGGGTGTGGTGGCTCACGCCTGTAATCCCAGCATTTTGGGCAGGAGGATGACTTGAGCCCAAGAGTTTGAGACCAGCCTGGGCAACACAGTGAGACCCCATCTCTACAAAAAAAAAGAAAAAGAAAGAAAGAAAATTAGCAGGGTATGAGGGTGCGTGCCTGTACTCCCAGCTACTCAGGAGG